ATCTATCATACTTTCTTGGGCTTGAAGTCAACCGAAATGACCAAGGCATCTTGCTAAGCCAACGGAAGTATATCTCCGACTTGCTTAGTGATCATAATTTTGATCATTGTCATCCTTTCAAAACTCCTATGGAAGTTAATTTGAAGCTGAAGAAAGATTCTGGAGAACGCCTACAGGATGGATCTCAGTATCGAAGTATTGTAGGTAGTTTGATCTACCTTTCTGCTACGAGACCCGATATCTCCTATACTGTTCAGATGGTGAGCCAGTTCATGACTGCACCATGTGTGGATCATCTAGCTGCCGTTCACAGGATATTGCGTTATCTACAAGGCACAAAAGATGTGGGTATTCTGTTTCCCTCGACCGGCAATTCCACGATTACTGCATATTCCGATTCAGATTTTGCAGGTTGCATTGATACTCGGCGGTCCACGTCCGGGTGGTGTGTTTAGTTTGGTGGAGCATATATCTCATGGAGGTGTAAGAAGCAAGACAAGGTCTCCAAGTCTTCTACTGAAGTAGAATACCGAGCTATGTCAGAGGTGGCATCCGAAATGGTATGGCTTCGCCGGCTGTTGTCTGATTTTGGAGTTCGTTGTTCTACACCTATGGATTTGCATGTGGACAACACTAGTGCTATCCGTATTGCTGAGAATCATGTACTACATGACCGTACAAAGCACATTGAGATACATGTGCATTATGTACGTGATCTTATTCGGGATAGCACGGTTCACTTACATCACATTCAGACGGAAGAACAGGTGGCCGATATGTTTACGAAGGCTTTTTCCACTAGTCGACATTGGTACCTTGGAAACAAATTGATGCTGCGAGACCGGCATCAATTTGGGGGAGGATGTTAACGTTATAAGTGTCATTAGGCTGAGATTAAGTGTTATAGGTGTGGGCCCCGCTGTATTAAAGCCCACACGTAGATCAAGCATGCAGGCCCATTCCCATGCACGGGTTAGACGTTGATTGTTGATGCTAACCTAGGTCATGAGAGTTGTATAGATAGGAGAAGGATCTCAGCCGACTGTACACACTTTCTCACTTGTTCTCTCATCTCAGTAAATCAGTAGCCTGAAGAGCGTTCAAGCTCTTCCGTGGATTAGTCCTGGATATCATCCAGGGATACCACGTAAACTCCGGTGTCTGTGTTTGATTTATTTCCCGTATCATTATCAATCTGTTTCTGTATTCTCAACAGGTTCCACCACTAAACAACATGGGGTGTTTAATTTGACATCAAGAGGGAGTGAGAAAACATGTCTTCTCCTCTTATCTCGCGCGAGTCTAAACTACTAAAGTTTAGGATCACATAATAGATCGCAGTTCACCGCAAAAATAAGATACTTTTCAGCCCTTGAGATTCCAAATGTCTTTACAATGAGAGCTAAGCCCCCAATGTATACTAACTCTCCAAACCCTAAATATATAATAGTAACCAACATTACATAGGGTTTTCTCCTTCTTATTCGAAATGTGAATCCTTTCTCTTGACTTGAACGAAAAGAAGAAGCTTCAAGAGCTATAACAAGGTTGGCAATGACGCCGCCACTTTCGACGATGGACGATTGGGGTGAGATTTTTCAATGACGCCGCCACTTTCGATGAATCGCCCCCAGTGCCACTCCATTGCGATGGCAGCGGCGACGATGGGTCATCGAGATTTCGTTCACAATGGACGAGTTCTCTCTACTCGCATATTACACCGTCCACCATCACGGCAAGCATGCACTGTTGGGGTCAGGATCGAATCCCAATTTCCGACGAATCCTAGCGATTAATATCTGTTGGGCTAAGATTAGAGAGAGGAGATGTTGGAGAGATCGAGAAAGTGGGCGGCAATTAGAGAGAGGAGGTCAGGAGGGTTGGGGAGATTGAGAGAGAGAGAGGACTGAGGAGTGCTGGGGATAACGAGAAAGAAGTTTTGGGGACTAGGCGGCAATGAGAGTTGGGGAGATCAAGGAGGTGGTACTGGGCGGCGAGGAGAGTTGGGGATATCTTGAGGTTGGGGTCTTGGAGAATGGGGATAATAGCTTGGGGTGGGTGGATATGAACTAAACGGAATACTAAGAGAAGAGGGAGGAGTAGTCGGTTATTTGGTATACCGTATAACCGGCGGTTACTAACAAGATATAACTCGGTATACTAGAAGCTAGATTTTGATTACCGCATACCGATACCGACAGTTACCGGTTATACTGTTAACCGCTGATTACCAAACTGGTAAGCGGTTATACTGCTAACCGAAAAATCGATTACCACCACTAGGCACAACTCATCCAGTCAAACATGTGAAAAATGTATAACTGTTGTGTTCCTCATCAAATTCGTCAGACATCAGTTCATCCCCCTAAATTAATAGGGGGGTGTTGGCTTGTTACTTAGAAATAAATCCTTATATGAAGCTAGGGCTGGGAAAACGGTTGGCGGTTTGCGGTTAAACCGACAACCGCACCGAAACCGCGCGGTTATTGGTTAACCGCAAACCGCATATTTGACCTATTTTGCGGTCGCGGTTGGAGATATGGCCTGTTTTGCGGTTTGCGGTTTAACCGCAACCGAAACCGCAAATCCATATAACCGCAAAGCTAACCGCGAAACCAGACCCAGCCCATAATTCACCCCCAGCCCAGCCAGCAGGATTGTGGCATTGTGCATTTGTGCTTGTGGATTGTGTTATTTGGATATGCAGACAGATGCAGAGGCTTGATGGAAGTGAAAATAGACAAAACAGTAGCTGCTGTGTTTTTTTTTTCCATGATTTTTTTGCGGTTAGTTCGCGGTTAATTGTCGGTTAGAGTGCTAACTGCGAGTTCATATGGTGTTTCGATTGTTGCGGTTTTGACAACCATAAACCGCGGTTCACCGCTAACCGCTTTCTGCGGTTTTTGGTTAACCGCTAACCGTTGCGGTCGCGGTCGCGGTTGGCCAATATGGGTGTTTTGCGGTTGCAGTTAACCGCAAATTGCGGTGCAGTTAACCGCAACCGCACCGTTTCCCACCCCTATATGAAGCTTTAACCTCGTTTGTTTCAATATCCATCGCTGAAGGAGGCTCATTTTCCGGCTCCGTCGCTCTAGCTATTCTCCTAAGGCATTGTGACGATTGCTACTTCTACTCCACCTCCCTCTAGGCATCCTTAAGTGGAGATGACTTTGGATTTCTTTCTCGGTTGGACCGTGAGGTTGAGGGTGATCCATCCGGTGACTTCAGATAGTGGTCTGCCTCCCCTTCGGAAGGTTTCAAGTTGCAACTCATCATAATTGTCGAAAACAGAGGAGAGAGGGCATATCGATTCTCTCTCTACATTGACCTTTCTCTCTCTCTCTCTCTCACACACACACACACTTTTTTTGTTTTTACCTTAAAGGTTCCAAACCACCTTCTTCCACTATGGTATTGTGGTTGGTCTGAGGCAGATGATGTGTCCAATGGATTTACCCTCCCCTAACTAGTGATACTCCCAGTTGACGTTCCTTGGGCCAAATGTTAAGCAATGCCCAAACCAATCGGTGCTTTGAGAAGAAAAGGAACTGTACTTGGGTAGCTGACTGGGCATGGTGAGGATGAGAAAACAGATTTGGGCCCAAGCTGAGTCTTTCACGTCCAAACAACAGCAAAGTCAATGTTATTGTAGGGACCAAGGTTGTCAAACCGATTTATGCCGGTGTGCCAGTTTTACAAGTGAAATGGTTCGACCGTGGTACAACCGGTTTGACAAAATATGTATAAAAATATAAAAAAATTCATAAAACATATAAATCATAATATATATCTGCAATCTGCCACCGCCCCAGCAACTTGCCGTCGTAGGCTCGCAGCAACACTGTCCATCAGCCCTTTTTCCTTTACCTTTTTACAAAGAATGGTCTGCCTCAACCAAACCCTCCCGATTTTCATATATTTTTAGCTACCCTCAGCAAAGATTATATACAAACAGATTGCAGAGGGACGCGCTGGGAGGAAGTGGCGCCGGGAGGAAGGCAACCTGGGATTGGGAGCTTCACGAAGGATTTTGGGAGTGACGAATCGAGGCGTCACTGGAGGAAAAAGCGCTCGAGTAGGACCTAGTGGCAAGATGAAGAAGATTGGGGATCGGGGATGGGAGCTCGCCTATTGAACCCCTAAGTGCATCCTCACCCATTTCAAAAAATGACGACGTATTGTTGATGAGGCCAGAATTTTCCATTCCGGTTGAACCCCCGACATTCTGGGTATTGATCAGCAGATTAAAAGGTTATGCTAGTGATACTTCAGCCAATTTCATTACCGACACCGGTTAAACCTAGTTGAACCGACCAACATACCATTAACATGACAACTATGGTAAAGACCAATAAGTAAGTATTTCCACGAGGAAGAGAAAAATATCATATGTAACAAAAAAAAAAGTACCAGAGTTGAGTCATCACCCATCAGTGTGTAGTGTAAATGTGTAATTCCCTCTCGCAGATTCATCGGATACCAAAACTAATTCCAAAAAGCAGCGCAAAAGAAACGACGACAGGCCCAATTCAATTAGTAATATAATAAAAAAAAAGTAAAAAGCGCAAAACACACATTCCCTCAACTCTCTCTCTCTCTCTCTCTCTCTCCCTCCTCTCCTCTCTTCTTTCCTACTCTTTTCTTCTCCGACTCTCTGCGTCCCTCTCCTGTCTAGATTCCTCCTTTACCTTCCTGGTTCGCTCTCTCCTCCGTCTCTCTGCCTTGCACAGTTTCTGCTTGCCGAGCCGACGCAAGAGGGAGAGCATGGAGAAGGTGCTGCTCGCCCCCTACCTCTGATCTCGCTTGGTTCGGCAGGTGAGAGAAAGCTTCTCACTCTGTAAATCACTTCCGCCATTAATACGGTCTGGTTTCCTTTTTCTTTAGGGGTCTTTTTTGTTTATTTCCTTGACCGAGGTTTCTGCCCCCGTCGTCGAGTGTTTGGTCTTCTTCTTCTTCTTCTTCTCCGTTTTCCATTTTCTCGCCCTCTTTTGTGTTGCTAGCTTGTCTGGAACCCACCACTCATCAGAGGTTTGCTCGATACTTTCCCGAGAAAATTAATCGAGGCCGAGAGGAAAATTGTCTCCGTCTCCGTGGGCCCCGTTTCCCCATTATCACTCGTCGCCAGACTGGTTTGTGGCTTGTTTGGTTGCCAGGGAAAGTTGTGAAGGAGTTTTTCTTTTCCCCTGAGTGGTGTGTTTTCTTTTTCTCCTCTCTCCTCCCCCGGTTTAAAGAAAATGGGGTTGCTGTTGAAAAATCAATTTAACAACCGTCACTTTATTTGTTGAGGAGTCATTTTCCTTCTCTTCCCCCACCAAACTGTCCCACGCTCCGCTCCTCCATTTTCTCAGAGTCCAAACAGTGGGAAAAAAACTAGTTTCTGTGGTTCTTTCGGGGATCTCTGTAAAAGGTTTTCTGCTCTCCGCCAATCGCCATACCTGCCTTGTTGACCCCTGCTTAATTCATTACTAACTCCTTTTTGATTATTTCCACAGTGGAGGCGGTCAGATCCGAAAAAGGTTCTTGAAGCCAGCCATAGCTCATCCCACAATAGAATTTGGTAAGTTTATTGATTCAAGATCTCTGAGACGAACATTGGGTTTGTGGTTGTGTGGGTCGTTGTTTGGTTTCCTATCATCTTCTCGTTGTTTTTCCAATGGAAAATCCAAGTCTCCCTCTGTCTCATGTTTATCCGTTGACAGGCGTTAGTCTTTTTTTTTAATATTATTCTGACTGCTTTGAATGTTTGAATTTAGTAATTTACTCAATGAGCTGTTGAACTTCTCCCGAGCATTTAGGTCGTCTCTGTTAGGAGTTGGTGCTTTGAATAATACTAAACGGCTAATTGGGATTTTCTTCTATCGTTTCTTCAGGCGTTTAAGATACCCACCAGCACAGCAGTCACACACCCCTTTGGAGTGTGCAGTCCGGTTATTACTGAAAGAACTGTTCTCTCTGGGTTTAAGAGCAACGCTACCAAAATGCAAAGGCCACCGCCGGAGGATTTTCTCCTCAAGGAGACCAACCCACATTTGGGAGGTGGGAAGATCACGGGCGACAAGCTCACAAGCACCTATGACCTCGTCGAGCAGATGCAGTATCTTTACGTCCGGGTTGTCAAGGCGAGGGACTTGCCTGGGAAAGATGTCACTGGCAGCTGTGATCCTTATGTGGAGGTCAGGCTGGGAAACTACAAGGGTACTACTCGCCATTTCGAGAAGAAGTCCAACCCCGAGTGGACCCAGGTCTTTGCATTCTCCAAAGATCGGATTCAGGCCTCGGTTCTGGAGGTTACCGTCAAGGATAAGGACTTTGTGAAGGACGATTTCATTGGGCGGGTTCTGTTCGATTTGAATGAGGTCCCCAAACGTGTCCCTCCTGATAGTCCATTGGCGCCTCAGTGGTACAGGTTGGAAGACCGGAAGAGTGATAAAGTAAGAGGGGAGCTGATGTTGGCGGTTTGGATGGGGACTCAGGCTGACGAAGCCTTTCCTGAAGCGTGGCATTCTGATGCTGCAACCGTGAGTGGCATGGATGCTCTTGCTAACATTCGATCCAAGGTTTATCTCTCTCCAAAGCTGTGGTATTTGAGGGTAAATGTGATTGAAGCTCAGGACTTGATCCCGACTGACAAAAATCGTTATCCAGAAGTGTTTGTAAAGGCTAGGTTGGGGAATCAAACTCTAAGAACGAGGATCTCTCCTAGTCGAACGATTAACCCTATGTGGAATGAAGACCTTATGTTTGTAGCTGCGGAACCATTCGAGGAGCCTTTGATTTTGAGCGTGGAAGATAGAGTTGCTCCGAACAAAGATGATGAGTTGGGGAGATGTGCAATTCCTTTGCAGTATATGGACAAAAGGTACGACCACAAACCAGTCAACACCAGGTGGTTTAATCTCGAGAAACATATTGTTGTGGAAGGTGAAAAGAAGAAGGAAACCAAATTCTCTAGTAGGATTCACATGAGGGTCTGTTTGGAAGGGGGATATCATGTTCTTGATGAGTCTACACACTACAGTAGCGATCTTCGCCCCACTGCTAAACCACTGTGGAAATCAAGCATTGGGGTACTAGAGCTCGGTATACTAAATGCTACTGGACTCATGCCTATGAAGACTAAAGATGGCCGTGGAACAACTGATGCTTACTGTGTTGCTAAGTACGGTCAGAAGTGGATTCGCACAAGAACCATCATTGACAGTTTCGGGCCCAAATGGAATGAGCAATACACTTGGGAGGTTTTTGATCCTTGTACTGTTGTCACAGTTGGGGTCTTTGATAACTGTCATCTCCATGGAGGTGGAGATAAAAATGGTGGAGGGGCAAGGGATGCTAGAATTGGCAAGGTTAGGATTCGCCTGTCCACTCTTGAAACTGATCGTGTTTACACACATTCCTATCCGCTTCTAGTATTGCATCCTAATGGGGTAAAGAAAATGGGGGAGATTCACTTGGCAGTCCGTTTCACATGCTCTTCTTTGCTCAACATGATGCACATGTACTCGCAACCTCTGCTGCCAAAGATGCATTATATTCACCCTCTAACAGTTAGCCAGCTGGACAGCTTGAGACATCAAGCTACTCAGATTGTTTCCATGAGGCTCAGTCGGGCAGAGCCGCCTTTGAGAAAGGAAGTCGTTGAGTACATGCTGGATGTTGGGTCCCACATGTGGAGTATGAGAAGGAGCAAAGCTAACTTCTTTAGAATCATGGGTGTTCTCGGTGGGTTGATTGCTGTGGGAAAATGGTTTGACCAAATCTGCAATTGGAAGAATCCAATCACCACAGTGCTGATTCACATCCTTTTTGTCATCCTAGTCCTGTACCCGGAGCTCATCTTGCCCACGATCTTCTTGTATCTCTTCCTGATTGGTGTGTGGTACTACAGATGGAGGCCGAGGCATCCACCTCACATGGACACTCGTCTGTCTCATGCTGAGTCTGCACATCCCGATGAGCTGGATGAGGAGTTTGATACTTTCCCTACCTCTCGGCCTTCTGATATCGTGCGGATGAGGTACGATCGTTTGAGGAGCATTGCTGGAAGGATTCAGACTGTGGTGGGTGATTTGGCTACTCAGGGGGAGAGGCTGCAGTCGTTGCTGAGCTGGAGGGACCCGAGAGCTACTGCTCTGTTTGTGATCTTCTGTCTGATTGCGGCCATTGTTCTGTATGTTACTCCATTCCAAGTGGTGGCACTTCTTGCAGGGCTGTATGTGCTGAGGCACCCCAGGTTTCGTCATAAGCTCCCTTCCGTTCCTCTCAACTTCTTCCGCCGGCTGCCTGCTAGAACAGACTGCATGCTGTGATGAATGGAAGAATGGATGGAGCTTTTGCTGGTGATGGATCAACCTTCCTCTTGAAGGTTTCCCGGGTTCTTTTGAAGTGGGGTATTTCATGTTCTCCCATCTTGTGGTTAAGTTAATGGTGGTTTGTAAGTTTGGTAGGGATGTGATTTGCAACTCTTTCGAGACTGTTCTGCTGGACCGTTTTCTTTTGTGTCGCTAGTCTTTAGTTAGTAGATATTTTTTTTATGAAATGGGGATGCGTTCTTCTATCCTGCACCAAATGTGCTTCTTTCTTTCTTTCTTTCTTGGCATGCCTGCCTGTGTCGTGCTCCTGTCGCTTTGCAGGTTTATTATTCCTTTCTGATCATTCCTGGCATCAACTTGGCGTCCTTCTGAAATCGCATACCGTGGAGAGAATAGATCCGTCATTGTTTTTTGTTTATAGTTATACACTGTCGGATTATATGGCAAGTTGTTGTCCCGTCTCATGTCTGTCTAGCTGGTTTGCATCAAATGTGTTGTGGCCGTGGGTTATCTATATTTGTCGTATTTGTAAAACCATAATAGTTTATAGATGGTTCAAATCAATCGAGAAAATATCTTATAAGAGCCTAAATTAATAGACAATTTTTAGGGGTTAAAGACACATTTGGTCACTGAGATTACAAAATCGGGACATGTTTAGTCACTAGAAAAAGTTAATATCAAATTTGGTCACTACAAATACTAAAACTGGACACATTTAGTCACTCGCCGTTAGTCTCCGTCCAACTCCGTTAATGAAGTCCGTTAAGTGCTGATGTGGCAAACAGAATTGCCTAATCAGCCGGATATAACCCAACAAAAATAAAACCCGACCCGCCACGTCATTATAACCCGCCACGTCATTAAAACCAACCCAACCCATGACCCAACCCTACCCAACCCTTCTTTCTCCTTCCTCATATCCATGATCAAATCAATGAAGAACAGACCCAAGACAACCCAAGCAACTCACCAGTATAGCCATTGGAACCCGGTAATAGGGGTGGGCATTGGGTGGGTCGGGTGGATTTTGACTATAAAATGCACCCACCCGCGCTTAAACGGATTGATAATTTTTAACCCACCACCCACCCACATTTAGTCTCGGGTTGGGTTGGGCGGATGGTGGATGATGCGGGTGGGTTTGTGGGTTCATCCACATCGAACCCACATCACAATGTATATAATATAAAGGAGTCAACTTGACATGATAATAGGTGAAAAATGTCGAATTAGTTCTTAAATTGGATAGAAATTCTATTATGAAAGAGTTTTCTACAGATTGAGACGATTATTAGGTGCAAGGAACTAAGGAAAATAATTCCACAAAGGAAAGAGCGGTGATCTAGGCACAAGAATTAGAGGAAAAAGAAAAGGGAAGAAGAAGGGATCTCTATTTGGAAGGTTGGCTTTGAGGTTTAAACTCCAGGAGCAGTCCGAGTTTATATCTAACGTCTCCACTCTCCTCTCTCTAGCGCCAACGACTTTGATCTTTTTGCTGTTGGGTTGAGCGGGTCACCCGCACACTCACCCACAACCCACCCACCACCCGGCGGATGGCTCCCAGCGCAACCCGTTACCCACCCACAGACCCACCCACTTAACGAAATTTGGGTCAAATGCGGGTGGGTCGGTCCAAACCCGCGGATGATCCGCCCGCATGCCCAGCCCTACCCGGTAAGCAGTTTTCCTATATTCTCGTACCACTTGGGAAATCTGTGAGTGCGTCCTCCTTTAATGAAACAGTAATAGAGAAACCCCAACAAGCAACTCTTCAATTAGTTTCAATATTTGATAAATGACTCTAAAGAGGGCAAAGCAAATACGCACGATGCATAAAAGATAGTAGGAGGCAGTTTCTTCTTCTGCACTTTACTGCTCGGCGCCGCTTGAGATGTTGGCTCTGTCATCCCCGGAGGCAAATTTCCTAAAAACAACATCCATCGTCAACCCCGATTTCAAAACCCTAGAAGAAGAGAGTGCTAAATCCCACTATTGGGAATTCACCCACAATCTTGCAAATGTTCACTTCGCTTACTCGAAGGCTGCGTTTCAGGGACGAACTCGCCGCCATGACCCAAAGGATCGCTCATCGCCTCAGGATCGGGTTTGGAGTGGGTAAGATTCGCATACTGATTCTTCAGTTTTTGGGTCTGCTGCCATGCCAGAGTCGAACACAGGAGCGACAGAGATTTCCCGGTACCCGTCGGAGACTCGAGCAAAGCATGGCAGTGCCCCTCCCTCTGGGCTCGCTCCAGCGTCGAAATGACCCGACCCATGAACGCCAGTTGCGTTCCGTACGGCTGGTATGGGAACTCCACTGGGATTCCTCCTACATGATAAGCCCTCTTGGAATTGAAGCTAGGGTTTTGATTCGCCGGCGGCGACGATTGATGTTTAGACACCATTTCTCCTGGAGAGATCAGCGATGGTAGTTGTGAGGAGTAAAAGTGAAAATGAGGCTGAGAGGAAAGAAGTGGGAAAGGGGTTTTTTTGGGTGGGTTGGGATTTGGGGGAAGAAATGTATCAGAGGAGACGAACAGATTTGGTGAAGGATTGCTCTGTTGGGTTAGGTCGAACAGGTTTGCGGGAGGAGGTGGGAGGAAGGAGGAGAGCGGCGGTGGCGGTTTTGGGGAAAGAAGGAGGTGGGAGGAAGGAGAAAGAATGGTTGGGTGGGGTTGGATCATGGGTTGGGTTGAGTTGGTTTTAATGATGTGGCGGGTCAGGTTTTATTTTTGTTGGGTTATATCTGGCTGATTAGGCAATTTTGTTTGCCACATCAGCATTTAACGGACTTCATTAACGGAGTTGGACGGAGACTAACGGCGAGTGACTAAATGTGTCCAGTTTTAGTAATTGTAATGACCAAATTTGATATTAACCTTTTCTAGTGACTAAACATGTCCCGATTTTGTAATCTCAGTGACCAAATGTGTCTTTAACCCCAATTTTTAGCAATGTGAAACAATTAAATCACAATTTTTTATATAAAATACTCTACCAAATGGCCTTGTTTGAGGGAGATGTCTGACAATGGAGTAGCAGGGTAGGTGCTTTCAGCCTTTTGAATGTTGCTGTGCGTGTTTTATAGGAGGGTAGGGGTGGACGAGCCATTGGTTGTTGGAATTGAGAATGGCAAAGCAACTTCAAGGTAGGTTTCAGTGGGTGAATGGGTTATTTTCTAGGGGAGAAATTATTGCATACACCGGGAGTACCACCTAGGATTGGCGATGTGGTACTCCCAACCAATTAAAACTTGACACTTACTCACTTAGTTTCATTAACTTATTTTTTATAAAAATATTTACGAGATTTTAATTTCCTTTTCTGTTAATTACCTTTAATAAAAAAATGTAACAAACACAATCGTTTCATCTCCCAAACCACCCCATCAGTCGTCGTCGTTGTCTTTTGGATGACCCACAGTTCAAACTCCTCCCCAACGTCTGCTAGAAACTCCAGATCCCTCCCACTCCATTCATCTACATTTATCAATTAATTCCTCCACCATTGTCCATTCATTTGTCACAGCTAAGTACAATGAACAATTGAACATGTTATTTAAATATTTAAGCCTTCTTCGAGCTGGAGAGTTTGGCGACGATGAGCATGAATATGGCGTCGGAGTCGAGCTTGGGGTTGCCCGTTGCCCTTTGTTGGCTGCAAAGGAACGGATTCGCAAACAGTAAAAAGAAAAAAGAACGCTAACGGGAGGAGGAGCCATAATAGAGCGGAGGAAGCAGCGGTGGTGGCGGCGGTGGGAGATGAACGGAGACAGTTCGAAGGCGGCCAAAGAGGGAGCCCGGAGCCGACAGACTAGAGCAGCTCTGTTTTCTTTTTAAGGAGAGAGGGGCTTTATTTGGAGATAATTCACATACAAGAAAATTAAAAATTTCAATATATTTAAGAAAACAACTATGACACGTAGCTATTTGCTATTGGCTGGGAGTACCAGATCAGTGGTACTCCGGGAGTAGCCAATAATCTCTCTTTGTAGTAGGGATGGCAACAAAACCCGAACCCACGGGTACCCACCCGACCCAACCCGGTCAACGCGGGTAAAATCCGTGTTGACGGGTTTTGGGCCGGGTTTGGGTTTAAACCCGTTCACTATTCACCGGGTTGGGTTGGGTTTGGGTTTAGGTAAACCCGGCCCGCGGGTACCCGCCCACTCATATAATTAATTTTTTCGGATATTAATATTCTAAACAACTATTCTTATTTATGTTTGTGGAGACATGTCTAATTTTTTTTTTAATTGTGTAGAATGAAGTTGATGTTATAGAGTGGAGAGTGGAGACTAAAGAAACTTAATTGAAAGAAAGAAGCTTTCAATTAAACATGTTATTTATGGATAATTTGTGATTTGCTTCAATTTTCATGAGTTTTCTAGATTGGTGTTGAACAATTTGTATAGTTAATTTGTGATTTGCTTGAATTTTCTAGAATGGTGTTTTATATATGGATAATTTATATTGAGAGATTGATATTTGACTTTAATTTTGATAAGAACTTGTAATTGTAAATTTTTTACAACAAAACCCGTGGGTACCCATGAACCCACGGATACCCATCGGGTTGGGTTGGGTTTGAGTTTTTCAAACCCGATGGGTTTTACCCCGGGTTTTTTTCAAAAATAAACCCATGGGTTTGGGTTTGGGTTTGGCAAAACCCGACCCAGCCCGACCCATTGCCATCCCTACTTTGTAGGGTAGACTTGCGTGCGTGGGGTGGGGGACCTTATCCCCTCAGGACCCGTACCTATGTCACCTTCTTCTTTCTTTACTTTCCCCATAGACCCTTGCGCCTCTCTTTACAGCCTGTAAAATGGCACTTTGCTCTTTTCACATTTCTGCTTTTGATGGATATTGCCATCTGTTAATCCGTGGGACGTGGGGTAATGTGAGTCCAAGAGATGGTTACATGATTATAGGGTGTATAATCACCTTTTAGCTCTTAAGAACTAAGAAGTGTAAATTGTGAGATTAAAGAGTTTTTTTTTTATGTTTTTAATTTATTTTTATCTTCTTTGTTTTCATTGTATTTTTTTCACAAAGAAAATAGATTGGTTGTAATCCACAAAATTATATTTAATTATCAATCTATTTTGAGAATTTCTTTTTGTACCATCCATACCACTCTTCACCCTGGTCCACCTTAGTTTTTAACTCGAATTTTGAAAAAAATTGTTCAGAAGGAGCGAGTTCATTGTGATTTATTTGCATTGTGGTAGTTACAGTTTCGTAATTTTATTTAAGGCAAGCGGTTGCTACCTCTCTTAACCGGTATCTTACCCAAACCGGTCGTGATAGTTGTTGCCAAAGATATTGATTATTGGGCGATTGATGCTCAGATCATCACCTAGCTCACTACCTCCGTTGGCCCTCTTACTGCTCTTACTCTTCGTCGTTTTTTCACGGCATCTAAGATGTGGGCTCATATTTGCGTGTTGATGAACGAAATAAGAGTTTTGGCGATTAATCACTTTTGGTAAGTTTTCAAGTCTCGGATGGGAAAGGAAGGTCTTCTCTCAAGCAACAATTATGGAGGAAAATCAGCAACGACTAGCTT